CCCTAGATCACCTCTGCCATTCCCCGCTGGCCCCCGACCCTCACCCTGAGCCTCTGGGCCCATGCGGCTGACCCCCCGCCCCCAGGAGAGCACAGATTTCTCCTGAGTTGAGCCAGGAGCTGCTCTGCCTGCTCTAAAGCTGCGGGTGCCTGGTTCTGCTGCGGGCGAAGTCGGGGGTTAATAGCGCGGGATTTGGAGCCCAGCTCTGTCCTGGACGAGTGCTGTGACCTTGCATGAGCTGTTTTCTCAGCTGAAAGAACAGAGACATAAATCCAGCCCTCTGGGGAGGTGTCCCCACAGCAGAAGCGGGCGGACGTTGGTGCCAGTGTCAGGGTGCTGCTGGGGGGCTTTGCCGCTGAGCGGTGAGGAGGTCTGAGTCGTCCTGCGCCCCCACTCCTCCTTGGGGGCAGCTGGAGGAAGGGGACCAGCATCAGCGAGCTCCACTTTCTATGGGGGCCTCATTCTTGCCTTATTTCACTAAACCCTTAAATGATCCTGTGAAGCTCCCAGACATGAGGGGGTAAACTGAGGCCCAGAGAGGGTGGGCAATGGCCAGAGAACACACAGCAGACCCTGGGCTGGGGTGGCTTCGCGGCCTGGAGGTGTCAGAACGACCCCAGGAGGGTGACCTGAATCTCAGCAGCGGGATCATCTCCTTCCGAGAGGGGATCTCACGGCTTAGCGGGAGAGCATCGTCCCAGGATGACCGTCCGGGGTGCCCACCTCCGCTGACCGGAAGCTCTGGAGCTGGCGGGCCCCACAGTGCTGCTTTGTGGTTTATGCTGCCTGCTTCCGTCGTATCAACATTTTCTGAGAAATGTGCACTTCTTGAGAAGTGGCCTTGTTTTCCTCGCCTGCAGCAAGACAGAAGTGATGATCGGTCCTCTGATGTCCATCCGCGCCGTCCCCGAGCGGAAGTTCCCCGACTAACTTTGGAAAGCGCTCTGCCTTCTGCCCCACCGAGGAGCAGTGGGGAGGCCCCACGATGGGGGGACGGGGTCCCTCCAATCCCACCCCAGGGAACACCTGGGGCCCCAAACCAGCGGCCCCCCCGGTTTCCCCTGACGGGGTGCCCCAGCTGGCCCCCAAAGTCTTCTGTCCGTTGGTTTTGGGGGCCCGCTGGTCGTGCTGCTCTGCGACATATTTGTCTGGTAAGGTGGCTCTCACCTGAAACCCATAAAATCCAAGGACGTTCCTAGGTGAGCAGCCGGAGTGTGAAACCCACGACTAAAGGCCTCTGGCTTCGTCGCTGTCTGCTGTGACCTGAGAGAAGGGAAGCCAGCAGAGCTCCCGCAGCTCCAGGGGACACAGCCTGGGACGAGGCACAGGGAGGCCGGTATGCTTAGCGCACCGGGCACCTGGTGGAGGCCGTGGGGCTCAGGCAACGCACACGCTCATGGGGGCTGCGAGTGCACAGAATGTGGGACCCTCGGGCCCAGGGTTCTGTGACAGAGGTGCTGTGGGTGCAGCTGGGAGGAGGGAGCCGCCGGAACACAGATCCAGGCCACTGGCCCCCACATGGGCATTTCTCCCAGCTCCACCTGGGCACCCTCCTCCATCCGGCCTGGTCTACGCCCCACATCCTCCCCTCCCTCCCTCCCTCAAGCTGACGCCCACGCAGAGGCGGGAGCAGCCTGGGGGTGAACACCTGCAGCTGCCATTGTCCCAGTCCCACCCTGTCTGAGTGGGAGGGACCCAGGGAGCCTGGCGGGATAGCACGCCCACGCAGCTCTGTGTGCCTCCTCCCAGGTACCCGGGAAGGGCTCTGAGAGGGATCTGCAGGGGTCCTTCCCATGGGCGGGGCAGAGGACCAGGGGTGATATTCACCCTCCTTGGCAACACCCTTGTTCTCTGACTCCCTGAGCCTGGCAAGGCCACGTAGGCAATGGGCATAGCCCCTGTGTCCTCCCCGGCCTCAGGTTGGCCCTGTGCACCAGGTTGCAGCCTGCAGTCCAGTGTCTCACCAAACAGCAGGACTCCTGTCCACACACGGCACTGGGGCTTCCTCAGTGGGTTCAAGCGTTCACCTGCTGGCCTGTTTGGGACTTGTGGGGTTTTGTCCCAGTGCCTTCCTGGCACCCTCTACCTAACCCCGAGGTTCTAATGCCCAGTTTGGAACAGAGTGGATCACAGCGAACACTGGACTGTCCATTCTGGAAATGCGGGTGTTGAGGTGCAGAGGTGGACAAGGAGGTGGGGCAGGCTCTGCTCAGGGGGTGCAGAGCGGAGGTGTGACACTGCGGGTAACAGATGCGGCACAGACACGGCGCCCGTGGGGAACAGCGGGAGAAAGTGAATGAGCTCGGAGGGCGTCAGGGAGGCGTCTCAGGAAAGGACAGTTTGGCTCACACAGCAGAGATGAGGCAGGACTGGGTTTCTGAGCAAAAGACCTAAGACAATATGAGGCCACAGAGGTGCCAGAGCCTGGAGCTGGTTGCGGTCTTCCTGGTGATTCATGTGTGTCCGACGGCAGCCCGCAGTCTCCCTGTGGACGTGCTGTCAGCTGGGCAGGCTCCCAGGGACGGGGAGATGGCGCCCGGTCTGAAAGTGCTTTGCGAGCCCCAGACAAGCCCCAGCGCACCGCTACGTCAGTTGCAGTGCGTTGTTTCTAGTTCCCACCTGCTCCCGCGGCAACACCAACACCGGTGCCTCCCCAGACCCCGCCGGGAACATCCCCCCCACCTCCCACCGACCCCCTGGACCCTGCATCCCTGCCCTGGATAATCTTGGAAATTTAGACAGCGTTCCTGTCACTGTCATCCTTCCCACACCGTGGCGCACGGCTGCTGCCGCCCATGGCTTGGGGCGCACTGCGCACGGGCCACCTCACTCAGCCTGCACGTCTGCTGGAACCACACCTTCATGCTGGGCTCACCTTCCCCGCTGAGTTCACCGCTTGTTTCTAGCTGCTTCACAGTATGACTTAGGCAGGGTCCGAGTTGTCTAATTTTCCCCTTGTTGGTGGATATGGGGCCCCCCCTTTTTTTCTTGCTGTTGAACATCGGGTGAATTCTTCACAAGGTAGGTGTTTATTCCCTAGGAAACCTTCAACACAGGACAGGATGAAGACTCCACCATGAACTGTGCTGTTTGGTTTTTTTTGTTTGTTTGGTGCTGTCTGAATCGTGGCCCGCCTGCTTGGGCTGGACAACCTCGTGCCGCAGTGACCTCCGCCCCCTCTCCTCGCCCAGCAACCCCCAGGACCCATCCTGACCATCCTGAGTCCTGAGTGGGGACACGTCATTCCCCTCTGTTTCCACCTGGGATGGGCCGGGCTCAAGTTTCTGCCAGCGCATGCACCCCCCTCCCCCTCATTTTTCTCCAGAGCCCTTTGGACAAAGAGCCGCTGGGACGTGAGTCATCCTCACCTCGCCCTCCAGCCAGGCTGCTCCGCAGGGTCTGTCCTGATCTTGCTCTTTGACTGGCCCCTCACTGTCTCCTCCAGACCCTGGTTTCTGAGGGAGTTTCCAGGGACGCCTCCAGGGAGCCCCTCCGAGCCCTCCACTCTGCTGCAGGTCTCCCCTTCATGGGTCTTTTAGTTTGCACCCCCACTCCTGCGTCCCCACAGTGGTTCCTGTACCCTGTACCTCTCCCCTCTGTGCTCCAGCCCAGCAGCCCCTCCTCCAGTCCTGTCTTCCGAAGCTGGGTCTGCGTTACACGGCGAAGGAGGCAACAATTATCTAATGAGCCGGCACAATGCCAACCACCAATTAAACAGCCTTGACATGGAATCTCCCTCCCTCAGGAGAACTGTCTAAGGCTGAACCCGGGTGAGGCCGAGATGATCTGGAGACAATAACTGACACTTCCTCACTAGCAGGTGAGGATTTCGGCACCCTCCCTGTCTGGC